ACCCTTTCGCATTCCAGTGTCCTTATAACCCATGTTTATCGTGGATAACGTTCTTCAAGATCTCTTACCCAGCGGGATTCCATGCTCAATATCTTCCCAGTTCGCAAAAGGCTCAAGGGCCTAGGCAAAACTGCTGACGATATCAAGAGTGTCCGCATTTCGTCAACCGGGACCACGCCGTTAACTATATGGTCGCTTACCCACTCATCTTGGGCCAATTGACATCTGAGAGTTTGTACGTTTTCTCCTCTACCTCATCATGAATCGCCTTAGCCAGCTCTAGCACCGACGCATCTGCTGCTGATCCTCGTATTGATGCTTTGCGGGCCGAACTCTACCCTGAGAAATGGGTTATTAGCTACTATCAGGATAATTTCAATTTTTTTCCTTGGTGCCCAACCCGTCCGGAAGAATGCTAGGGAAGTCGTGTAGTACTATGAGTCCAGCACGAAAATACCAGGAGGCTGGAAGGTTGAGCAGCCTACTCAGAGACGAGAGTTCCGCGTCCGAAAACCTGTCATAATTCATTTTTGACCCGTCAAAAGTTGGTGATCGCACTAATTCCATCTCTTCCCCAACTTAAATATCCTCCAGCGAGCGACGATATGAGAGACCTCCCCTGGTGCTCCATTTATCAGCTCTCCGACATTGACTATGAATCCCGATGAGTCCAACTCGTCAAGCTCTCTTCCGCTTTCAGCCGAACTTGAACGGTTCGTACAAGACGTTCTAACCAACTTGGGCTTCTTGCCCGCCGCTCCTTTGCTCCCGGTCTCTCTGGGAAAGCGAAAAAGTGGTCCTCCCCGCAACGCGCAGGTTATCCAGAACGTTTGATCAGAGCAAACCGTGGAGCATACCAGCAAATCATTGATGCTGGCAAGTTCACCCCGCGCGGCGCAGACGCCTTTTGGGATATGCGACGAGTCATGGAGTACGGTTGTCTTCGATCCTTTGAAGATGCTGGGGTAGAACGACTAGACACTCTTCCAGCCAGGTACCTTGCGAAATGCTCAACTTTTACTTGTAGAAAGTTAACGGCATATGTCTAGCGAACTTGCCCAACACCACGCTCAAGTTTTTTCCACAATCTTCTCCACATGCAGATTCGAAGTTCTTCCAGTCCTCCAACATCTATATTTCGACTCGAAGACGAATCCTGGCCCATGGAATGCGTTGGGCAGCCGCGTACGTTACACTGCATCCCATTGCTCAGTTGACTTCTTCTCTTAGTTGGCAAAGGCAGCACGAGATGCCCGCACTCAAGACACCAATACCTTCAAGAATAATCTGAACATCTTACTCCCCATTCCGGGCTCGGACTTTTTCTATCCCCCTATCGATGGAGGATCTAGCAAGACCCGACGTGGCATGAACCATCCACAGTTGTGCTTGTTGATCATGCCTTGGACACATCGCATTCTCTTTCCCCCTCTCATCTACGGAAAGCCTTCGGAGTAACGAGCTTCATCCTTACTCTGTCTCCCTTGTCTAATTAGATTTTAGATCAACAATCCCTCTTTCGTCCGTATCCCTTTCTTCTTTCCTTCTTGTCCGTTGATATATCGTGGTTTTAGTCCGGAAGCTCAAGAGTAAACCCCTTGGAACTTCTACGAGTTGGTGTCAAAACTGACCACTTTTAGGATCAACGACTTGATTGTCGCCCACAAGTATACCCCCCTCTAGCCGTCGGTTTCCCTCTTTCTGCTACCCCGATGACGGGTGGGACTCTCAAGCCTATCAACGCAACCTTTTCCGGAATATAGCCATTATCCGGGTAGGTTCAACTCTTCATTTCAAGGAGTCGACTATTAAAACTCCTAGGGCATTCGTCTTCTGTTTATCAGCCGAGCCGCAGTGGGCTATGAAACTGATGATGATATTCCATCTGGCTGTCTTGCCGCAATACACAATATTCATCAGGTCACCGCTCCTATAGTGGCTTACGTCGTAGTGCAGGTATGCTAGCATTGGCTTCGGTTCGTCTCTTATTTGTCCCAACAGATGCGAATCGCTATGAGCAGCGTAGCTCAATGGGGAACTAAAGAAACTAAACGATACAAATTCACCGACCTTTACAAGAAAGTTCTTCGGTCTTTTGAAGATGACTCAAATCCGGATCTGCCAAGCTGGGGCTCAGAAACTCTCAATTGGCTAACCCAGTGCGTAAACCATGCTTGCTTTACATTTACTCAGAAAACTTGGCTTAGGCGTGTTTTTGGTGGCTGGTCAGAGGTTGAGGAAGAGAGTGATGATGGTAGTGCCAGCGACGACGAGGCTGTTGCCCAAACTCGATGACGTGCAGCCTCTCAACGACTACCGACACCTCAGGCAACCGTGTCCATTTCACCGGAGTCGAACGATCAACCAGTTGGAGGGGCTTTGGGGACAGGTGAAGTCAGTGGAGGCAATGTCGTCTAGTTTTACATAGGGTGTTCATTGTTTTCGGAATATTATGTATTATTGTCTACGCAAACCCAATATCGGAAAGTCCGGGCGCTGTCAGGGTTCGGGTCGGGCCAACGGGCCCTATACGGCCCATCGGGCCCTCACCACCCTTAGAGCCCTAGGGCTTGACAAGCCCTCATAATTCACAAGCTCAAAGCAATGAGCAACAACACTAATATCCCAGAGAAGGGACATAATCACGGATCGCGCTTTAGTCAGCCATCAAGCCATCATGACCCGCCATCAGGGATCATGATGCGCCGCCGGACGCCCTTGACAGCGGGCCCAATCGGCCCTAGACAACCACAGGGATCAGGAGGGAGCTCCTTACTGTTGCATTGCCAAACACTCCTTAGTGTCGACTTTGGCATGGCTCCTTTCCAGAGGAATGGTCCCTGGGCTCCTAGCGGAGCGACCAGGGACGACCAGAGACATCCCCTGCTCCCTTCTGATCGACCCTCAGCGGGCCCGATCGGCCCCTAGCGCCCACAGTATATAAAGACCAGAGTATTACTCCTGTACCTTAGGTTTAGCATTGAAGTCTCTTTCCTTGAACCCTACTCCGGCCTGGTCCCTTCAAGCGGGGTTGCTGCGACGAATCCCCATGCAAGGGGTGTCCAGGCAACCCCTGACGCTCCAGGCTCGCTTGCCTCATTGACCTGAGCCCTTGGTTGGGCTGGACAGCCCAGGCTCTTGTCTCTTATGTTCACCCTTGTCCTAGCCACTTCTTCCTGCTCTCTGGCCTCAAGCTCTGGGTTCCCCTGGTACGGGGCGATGGGAGGGTGCGGGCCCGATCGGGCCCGCATGTCACGCGTCACACCGCGCAGTCACGCGGTGTCTAGGAGCCACAGCGACTTGTTTCTCCAGGAAAGGAGATATGTCGCCCCTTGGACTGGCAACCCTTCTCAAGCGCTCCAGGGGTCTCGGGCCCGCAGCCCCTGTTGCGGGGCGACTCCCCTCGACCCCCCGAACCGTCGGGCGTGACCGCGTTACGTCACGCCCCGCCCGAACGGCTTGTTCAACTGGCCCAGCCTATGCCTTGCCCTATGCCTTGGGCACCAACTCTACTAGGCAGCACTCTTTGGCTATGGACTCGTTCCCTTCAGCAGGGGTAGGACACTCTAGACGACTACTCGTATCCTGTGACACCGCTGTCACACAACGTGACAGCGGGGCGTCTCGAGTCGCCCCGAGCTGTCCCTACCCTGCTCTCTATTGCAGCAGTGGCACCATCTACGCTGCCTGGCTGCCGACCACCCAGCTATGGGGGTTGAACCATCTTTCCCACACTTGTCAGGCTGGCAGGAGACCGTCACGTGGGCCCGGGCCGGCCCTGTTCCTGACAGGCGCTATGCTATATACTACTAGTACCCTCCTTCCTAGGCCTCCCCAGGTTTTGACTGCGTTGTAAGTAGCGCAAGATTGGCCAGCACCAGCAAGGGCCTAACAATGGTCCTAGAAAGGCACGGTGACGAGCAAGCGTCGAATATGATTGTTACAGGTTGTCGGGGTACGTGAATCTTGGGCAAGATCATACCTGTTTGTGAGGATGCCAACGACCTGCAAAGTACAACAGTGTTGAGAGTCGGCAAGAAGCCGCCGTCCGGGTTATTCTAGACTAGAAGAGAGTTCAAGCGTTGCGAAACCAATAAAGCCTTGTCAGGAGGTTATTAGCGTTTGTCAATTTAGAGATCTCCTTTCATCATCCTTGTAAAACGTGACCAAGGCTTGCGAAGACTTGTAACAACTTACAAAACCAAGAACCTGATCACGACCGACTTGCGAGTTTCGGCCCAATTTGGTGATGAAATTGCCGCTTCTCTCCCTTCCCTGCACGTGCCGTCACGCGTGACCCGTCACTCGATTCGACGACACGATACTCCTCTTCAATGGCGCATTCTGCGGCTCTATCGACCGGATCTCATGCTGCGGCCATAATCGCACATGGTGTCTATTTCTTTTGGCCCATGGTACTGGAGTGTAAGGGCTCCGCTGGATGCGTTTTCGTCTGCGAGTGGACTTGGTCGCGGGCAGGGTCGCGAGGCTGGAAAATTTGCTGGGGCACGGAAAGGAGGAGAGTTGGTCGCGGAGGGGGTGCTGATTGATCAAGTGAGTGTGTCGTCCTTATTGACGCGGTTCCAGACGATCCTTGCCTCTAATTCCTCCACTACCAATACTATAATAGATCGTGTTCTCCCTCCTTCTACTCACCGTTACCATCTTCCATTGTTATCTTTACATCCTTTGCTTCACTGGAATCTGTCCCTCCGTTTTCACTCGCTGTTCCCTCGCGAGGCGTTAACCAGTCAGCGCTACTGCAATGTACTCCTCCACTTTTGCTTCTTATCCCCAATCCAGTCACTTGCTGCTTCCGAAAACCAAAAGCACACAAGCTTCCTCTCCGGCGCAGCGGCGCTTCTTTCATGCCTTTCGGCTCTCCCACTTTCCTAGCACATGGGTTTTGAGAGGCGGCCGTGGATGCCGGGGACATTTGCCTCGCGCCTTCCTCCCCGTTCACTGCTGCCAGGTCTAATTAAAGACAGACCACGACATCTCACACGCAACCCATGGAAACCCTCAACGCCTTCCTTCGCCCGCACGGCATCGCGCTGCACTACCTCGACGAGCGCTCGCAACCTACGCTCTCCGCAGTAAAGGAAGCCTTGCTCAACCCCGCGCTACTCGGGTATCTCATCACACCGGAGATGGACCGCAATGCGCTGGCCAAGGGTATGTGGGAGCGACTGAGCGAGTTTGGATCGCGTGTGCGCGGCACGGACAAGCGGTGGGACGAGGCAGAGGAGTGCGTTCTTTAGGCTGCTCTTGCCGAGCTCGTTCTAACCCCAGCTGTGTCTACTTGAAGACAGGGCCTCGTAGACGTCGACAAGACGATTGAGCTGGGCACGGCGTATCGCCGCAGCAAGAATAGGCCCCTCACGGTGGAAGGCATCCTGGAGGTGTATCGTTATCGGTTGGCGCTGGTCGAGCGGGGCCCTATTCTGGAGCCGTCTGACGCTAACGTGGCGAATTTTGAATCCAAATAGACTTTGAGTACTGGAGAGTGGCGCCTTACGCGACGCCCTCGGCTCGTAGTACGGTGGTTAAAGACAGACACGTTCATTGCAGTTCGTGAATCAGTAAGGTTGCATATATAACGGGCTCCTCTCCGTTCTGCGGTATCAACACATGCAAGAATATCTAACCCTTGAAAAAATATGAGCGAAACAATTGATTTCAGCAGAGACTCACGCCACGGCCCTCGCTCCGCTCCCAGACACAATAGCCCTCCGCGAAACGGCAAACGCGGCTCGCAGTCCGTCGAAGCAAGGCCCGAGCCGCCCGACATCACCAATCCACCATCCATTCTCCTTAACATACATCGCCCATGCGCGCGCTGCGTCGCGTCCCACAGGTCACCTTGCGAAATCGACCGAGACGTGGCCTTCCGCCGTCAGATGACAGATACAATGGCCGAAAGAGGTCGGCACAGCGCGATGACAGCGCCGGTTGCTGACGATAAAGGGGAGCTCAGTGGTGGCGCTGTTTCTGGTGGCAAAGTCAGAACGTGTCGGGGAGCAGGTAGGCAGCCAGCTTTACTCTCCCAGCCAATATCCTGACAGCTACTCCCATTCGCCGGTATCGCCACACCCTGTCCCCGTCGTCAAGAGCCGCGCCGTCTGCGAAAGCGTGTCAGCGAAGCCATTTGGGCACTGGGCGGCTGGAAAGACCGGAGCAGTCAGCAGCTCTAGCAGTGCAATTCCGAGCCGCGCGATAGGGAGCAAGGAAGACGAAGTCGGTCCCGTCGTCGTCGTCGCGGAAAAGAAGAAGGAAGCTTAAGATCGGGCCGACATGTGATCTCCGTTCTTCACCACCACGATCTGCGTCTTGAGCGCGACATTCCTGGTACTGAAGAGACTCATCAACGAGCACTCCGCATCATATACCACTAACCTGCGGGCCCAGGGGAAGTGGAGAAGTTCCGGGTATGCAAGCTGTCGTCCGACCACTTAATTTCGAATCGTTCGCCCTCGGAGTCGCCAACCCTGCCTCCGTGCCAGCCAAGATAGTGCAGGCGTCGAGAGAGAAGGAAGAGGCGAGTGCGCAGGTTGGTGGGGAAGCGATAACCTGTTTGGGCTCAGGCTGGAAGTCGTGGCCGTCCGAGTCTTGGAGCTAGAAGCAGCTTCAGATAGCGCAAGAAGGACAAGGAGTACATACTTACTGTCTGAATACAGCTATTCTGTCTGAATACAGCTATTCGTGGAATGAATAAAAGTCCGCGCCATCGACTCAGCTGTAGTGACTGACTCGTCACTCAAGACAGTCTCGAGTCTCGAGTTACTAGTGAGTGGCGAGTGGCGCATGTAGATGGGACTAGGAAGCTTCGTTAGCGACTGAAGCTGGGTTGCGACTGGAGATACACACCAGAGCCATCCGTAATGACTATCCTATGCCGCGGCGCCAGACGCGGACACTGGGCTCTTGAAACGACAGTGTGTCGTTTGGAGGAGATATCGGAATCCTGCACCAGTGAATGGCCTTCGAAAACATGTCTTATGCCGAGGAGGTGGCAATAGATGGACGGGAACGGAGCGCGTCCGAGTCGAAAGAGAGCCTGCGAGGAAGAATATCAGGAACGACATCAAGAAGAAGCACATGACTTTACGCACCTTGAGCGCGCGGTTAGCTCTTGAAATCCCGACACCCAGCACCACCAATCTACCGCCAAGCACGCTGTACATCCACCGCACTCGTTCCTGCCCGCCCTTTCCCCTTGCTGCCATAGTGACCATACGCTTGGCACCCGCCGGAACTGTCCCAAACGACGGGACGCTGGGGCAAAGATATGAGTGCAAAGCCCTCTATGCGTGGCAGCACGAGGTACGCTCGATAGACCTAGAGCGATACGCGTCGTGCTTGATTATGAGGAGGTAGCAAGGGTTTTTCGGCGGCGGGACCGCAGGCCCGGCGTGGCACGTGACCTGGCCGATTTTGAGAGGGAGACATCGACGGACGGGGACGCTGGCCACGGGGGGGGGAGATGGGGACGGAGAGGTGTGGGTTGGAGATGGTGGTGGAGGCGGAGGTGCGGAGAGGCAGGGATTACTGAAGAATCGTGGTGGTGTATCGACGAATAGAGCAAGAGCTCTACGCGTATGCGCGACTGGTGATTAACCTAACGATCCTACGAGTATGCCGCAGCGCTGGACACGGATAAGGTCTTGAAATAGGGAAGTTGTTCCCGCCGGCGTCCTTGTGTCGTTTGGAGGAGATACTTATCGGATTCCTGTACAAGGAAATGGCCTTTGTATACCGAGGAGGTGGCAATATAAGTATGGACGAGAATGCAGCGTGTCGAAAGAGAGTCTACGAGGAAGAATGTTAGGGACGACCTTGGCAAGCACAAGCGCATAGCTTTACGCACCGTGAATACCAGCGCCGGCGCCATACGGGACGGCCCCTCCTCCAAACGTTGCGTTTCCTCTCCCATATCATCTACCGCGTCAGCTCCCGCCGCCAGCCTCCGGTCTCCTGCGCCTCGATTCAGCCCCCAACTTGAAAGCTTCCCCTTCAGGAGTGAGGCGACAAGAACGCGGCTTGTTTCGAGTACCGCGGGCCTGAGAGGTGTCAGTCCTTTCGAGAACGACTCAGTCGGCCATCGCATGGTCGGAGAAGGGAGAACCGCGACAGCATTCACCGCCGAACTACTTGCAAGACAGGTCAGCAAAGAGAAGATGCACTACGCAAGGCCACACACCTCTGCTTTAGGACGCGAACAAGCCACAGATTGTGTCGGACAGCGAGGAGGAAGGTGAGTCTGCCATCGTCGTGGTGGAGAAGAGAGAAGGTAGATCGGCACCGGTCCGAGCATGTGATCACCGATCTTCTTCTTCTCCCTCCACCACGACGACCGACCCACACGACGACATCTCCTCCGCTCGGCCACCTAGTTGGCGAGCACGCGAGTCATCACCATCCCTCGCGGATACCCCGTCGCTGACTCTTGTGCTTCATTCCCAAGTGTCCTCCCAGCCATTGTGGAACCGGACACGCTGAGTGAGACCCTGCCCGTGCGACCGCGCCAAGGTGATTGGGTTGAAGGAGCAGGAGCTTGACGTCGTCGAAGCCGTGGCCATAAGCGGGGAAGCAGGAAGGTGCGCTATCCGGTCTGTCAGCCCGCTTTTGCTAACTTTTCTTGTAGCTTCCGCGACGGGCCAACGACACGAAGAATCACAAAAACGACCTACTCTATATGTCCCCTCGTAGCCGGAACTCGGCACTACTGGGGTCGCAGGCCGTTGAGTAGGCCGGTGTGTATGGCCCTTTTCTCCCGCTCGTGTATTCATTTTTTTCAGCCGTCTTCAATTGATTTGGCTTTGAAAACTGGCGCAAACGACTACGTGTTGGCAGTCTCAGGGCGTTGTGCTGGCGCGGGATTTAGAGGGTCTTGCTAAAGGTGTGTAACGAGCATTGCAGTTTTGCGGCGCGTTTGCTGACCTCTTCCTTGACAGACTACCGACAAACTTTCCCGCAAACCGGAAGACTCGAGGCCAATTCGCAAAGCGGCAAGGGGACTGTCGGGGCTGGGCGAGGAGGATGTACACGCATGCGTGCGTGAACGACGGCTCTAACCGCATGAGTCGTATCACTAATCTTCTGCGCAATCGAATCAGTGGTCCCACCCTTATCTTTCTTCCGCACACACAAACTCGCGGGGCCTATCGAGCTCGTCTCACTGTACTCCTCGCTTCGGTTCCCCACATATTCGGCTTCCCAAGACTTAGCATGGCGCTTTCATTCTTGCACCGGCACGCCTGGATACCTACGGGTGAGGGCGTGAATTGCTGAGTAACCAGCTACGTGGAGAGAGCGAAAAAAGTGCGTTATTTATCTCCTCCTTTCGGGCTTCTACTAACTGATAACCCTTTCGCAGCTTCCGCCTAGTGTGCGTCACGGGCCACCCGCGGGTTTTCGCGGGTTTTGACGTTTTTTCGTGATGCGCCGTCGATAGCGCCGGGAATTCCGCGCCAAGCGCAAAAAAAATTGTGTCAATCGGACAACAAATGACCGTTCTACGGTCCCATCAACTTTCATTGAAATCGGGGCAAAGGGGCTTGCGGAACGTGATCATCTTTCCACCTGCCCTGCCCAAATATAGCAACAGATCGGATGTGTTGATGGGACCCGATCAACACATCTCATCTGTATGAAAACCATTCATTTCTCTTACTCTCTGACAATACTCTCCCAGAAACCCCCAACTCGACTTCTCCCTGAGCTCGGTGCTGTCCGGGCGGCCTGCCGCTGCCATCAACGGCGCGGCGGTGTTACTCGGCGTGACACCCACCCCCTCTGTCCGTCACCGTCGCGCGCGCGTCGGGCCTCGGCGCCGCGCGGCTGACGTCACAGCGCCATCATCGCGTGACGCATGGCTGGGCTCTGTCAGCTGCCACGTCGACCATACCCACCTGCTCACTGTCCTCCCGCCTCACTGTCCGCCCGCTCGCTGCTGCCGCCGTCGCGCAACCTCACAACCTGGTCATCGCACTGTGACGTTGCGGCTGCATCAGTGGCCAGGTCGGCCCAGCAGCAAGCACTCCAGCCCACTGTCAGCGGCCAGCCTGCCCGCCGCCACCACGCTCGTTACCATCGCGCTCGTTGCTGCCGCGGCCGTTGCCCTCCGCATCACCGCCGGACTGACACATCGCATCACTGTCGCGCTTACTGTCGACGTCACGACACAGTCACCGCGTAACCCGGCCACGTCGACCCGGCCACACGTCCTTCGTCCACCGTCGCTCTCCTCTCACACCACAGCGGCACACATCCCTTCGCTGCTCTTCCACCTTACCGACGCCCGCCGCCACCGCCCGCCTATGCTTGCCGCCCTCGCGCTCCATCCGCGTTTGCGCTGATCAACGCCGCAACGCCGCCTGCCCACCTATCTCTCGTTGTTGCCACCGTCATCGCGCTCGTTGGCTCCGCATGCGCCGCTATTTCCCGTCCTCGTCAACCACGAGCGCGTGGGACAGCTACGTCATGCGGCATCTCTTCAGGCTGGTCTCGCCCACTCGCTACGCGCTCGCCGCCTGCTCTTCTGTCGGCCGCCGCGGCGCTGCAGTGACAAGCTGAATTCACTCACCGGGAGGAAATTGGGCGCTGCGGGACGACGAGTGCGTCGTTCCGCTTGCGGTTTAGAGGAGATGGGCAGGCATAGCGTCGCTGCCGCTGGGTGAGCTCCCAGGCCGAACGCGCGGGAGGCGGGCCAGAACGCCGCTCGTCTCTGAAGACAGAGGCAGGGCCGGGAAGAGCCAACCACTGACCCGTTGCGCTTGATATTTTCAGGAAATGGAGGAGATCGCTGCCCCTCTGCATCCTGATAGTCTCAGGCGCAACGCGTAAGAGCTCCGCCCAGCGCCTCCGGGCCTCGCTGACACCCATTACAGCAGCATCCGCTACGTTCAGAGCCAACGGCCCATGGGCTTCCCATCTTCCGCAAGAGGGCAGGACTCTCCGCACGGCCCTCCACAACCTCGCGGTCACTCGCTGCCTGCCCATCGGAGGCATTGGCCTGTTGGGCCATGATGGGGGCTTAATTGGGCATGTAGTTCTCCTCAGTTGCCTCCACGTATGATACTAGTCTACAATAAACCACATTTCAAGTCAAATGTATATTTCAGGGACCATAACAACTTCTATCAAAGCTTGTGCTACGGAGTAAGCGCATGAAACAGCCTCCCATCACTGAATCATGTGTGATGGAGCGGATGTTGGACTATATCTCCACATCCAGACCACGGATATGAATGATTGAGTACTCATTTGAAAGGTATGAAGGGCTCTAATATCAACCATGATAGATCAATGTTGCTCAACACTCTCATGCAATACCATTCAGCAGTGATTGACTGTATTTGACTACCTAGGGAATAAAAAGCTGAATTCTTCATATATACTGGGTGGATAAGATTGATCTAAGTGGATTTGATCATAAGGGATGGAATAATGGAATCTGACCCATTTCTGAGCCAGGGGCACTTGATGGTATCACTCAATAGCAGGGTTTATTGTGCATATTGTATTCTGCCTTCTGGTATGTCTATCTGGAAGCGCATGTCAGTTTCTGGGAGCTACACATACACGCTACTAGCCCCCACACTACCAACTTATTCTGCCAAAAACCAGTACAGATATGGAGGAGCTGATTTTGGCAAAGATAACACTGATTCCTCAATCATGTAACATCCAAGATAGCTAGTAGACTGATTGAAGTGTCAGAAGAGTTAGTTTGAAGTCTTCTAGTTGCCTATTTAAGTCTCTTGAATCCTGCTTGAAATAAATTTTTAACCAGTTGTAAGAGCGGAGACAGTTCTTTTGGCCTGAAGTGTACCAACCCTGTCTTCAGGTTTGAGGTTTGGAACTGCTCACAAGAATGCATATATGTCATCAGGAACTGTCATGGGCCTATAAACACACCACTTTCTGACCTCTGTATCATGTATTCCAAACCACAAGTTCAATATTTGGGTGCAAACAGTGTCACAAAAGTGACACATGCAACATTCACCTGATTTCACCATACAAAAGGCTTAGGATTTCATACCTAAATGAATATTATGGCAGATGTAGGTCTATCCTTCATCTCTACACTCTTTGATAGCTTATCTAACCCCAGATTTAGGAAGATCTTAGGCATATGTGATAAAATATTCAACATGATCTTAGGACCAAGGATGGTCTGATAAGGCAATCTCAGTTCTCCAACTGAGCCAATACATATTTCAAGCACCTCCACCCAGTTCTACAATAAATTCTGCAGACCTCTCTAAGTTAGAGCATTGGCAATGAAATTTCCTGTGAACTATCCTACAATGCTTCCTCCACTTCTGTAGATATGTGAAGGGCATCAGACCATAGTGTGATGTGCTAAGCACTGGGAGCAAACATATCTGGACAATCTAGGAAGTATTAGGTGAGATCCACTGGCATCATTCATCAGGGGTGAGAACAGTTCTAACATGCTATTGTATCATCTTGTAGAGAAAAAAGGAAAATATAGTTAGTTGACACTTCCCAAGAGTGGAGAGCCACAACAGTAATGTGGTTGTAATTGCTTGAAGCATCCATTTGTAGAGATATAGTACAGTCAAGATAAATGATGGAAGATCACTCCTGATCGGAGGGTGATTATCAATAGTTTTGTGATAACTTTATGACATTCTTCGACAATGATCCACTCTGCCCTATTCAACGTTTTGCTTGTGCAAGAGTTGGACAACATCTGACAACATCCGCGATGATCTATACACTAAGTAGCGCGTTGCAGCGGCAAGCGCCAATGTGATGCTGCCACATCACCATCTTGACAACCAACAGCCGAGAATCCGCTTTAAGTTCTCACACGTTGTCGGCGGCCCGGGACAATGGTTGTTGAAGAGCAAAAAGTGGGGGTAAAGAATCTGTTCTGTAAACTAGGTACATGTGCTGAATTTATAGTACATGAGATGCGCAGCGCGCAGTCCGCGCAGTCCGCAGTCCGTAGTCCGTAGTCCGCAGCCGCAGCCGCAGTCCGGAGTCCGTAGTCCGCAGCCGCAGTCCGCAGTCCGCAGTCCGCAGTCCGGAGTTCGCACGTGATCAGTGCTCCGTCAACACTCCCCCTCGAACGAAGCGACTGTCCTTTAAACTTGAGTCATACCAAGTTTACGGACTTGCTCTTGGTGCTGTGTGCGGGCAAGTGGTTTGGTGAATATGTCCGCACGATTATCAGCTGATGCGCAGTGGTGAACAGTGACCTTGTTAGAAGTCACAACATCGCGAATGTAATGGTGCTTGATGTCGATATGCTTTGAGCGAGC